CTCCATGATAAGGGAAGCCTCTTGTATTTGTCCTTTTGAGTGTCTTGATTCTTCAATCGGTGCCCTTAACTTCCTTAGGACATCCAAGTTAGGACTCTTAAAAGAATATTTCAAAATATTTTCTTTTGTAATCCATGTTGGTTCCATAATGCTCATAAATGAACTAGGAATTCCATGAAACCTAATGCAATATGATGTTTTATGGATGCAACAGACACAAGTAAGCACATAAGGACACACAAAGATAAACAGACAAAGGGAAGCCCTAGGTTTGCAACGAGCATGGAGCAAGGGTATACCCATTCCCAAAGGATTTGGACTAAAGTTTGTTTGTACCTGCAGAACAAGGTTCTAAAGAGGTTCCCAAAGTCATGAGCCCATCTTTCGGATATTATCAACTTCCCAACTAACTCGGGGGTTAATAATATTCTCAAGAGAACTTCTTTTGAGTGTAGCATCGCGTAGCACTATTTCGGGACTACTCCCTCATAGCCTTGCACTACGTCCTAATAAAGGCCAAAGTGGGATTAAAGGCAACTACGGTCCTTAGTATCATGGACTCCAATTGAAAGTAGTAAAAGTTTTCATGACTAAACTCGTTCAACCGAACTATTTTCAAAAGGGTTTCAACTAAGCGGGATTCTCAAGTCAACTTAGTCGGGACTCACTCCCTATAAGCCTCATCGAATATATCACCATCCTATAATAATTTCTCTCAAGTCCGGGTGTAGGACTTTGTCTCACCACTCAAGGATCACAGCCCCAAAAGAAATAAAGGACACAAAGAAATAAGCATGTAAGCAAATATATAAAGCAATAAAAACAAGATAGGGAGACCCACTGAGGGATCTCCAGTGAATTCGCCATTTCTGTCGCGGTGAAAATCGGATACCAAACTATTAATTAGTTTGAATCTTTAATTTATTTTGCAACCGAACTTTGATTTGTCCAAAGGAAGGGATAAATATTGAAATTCCCACAATGCAATGAAAATGCAAGGTTTAGAGAGTTTTAGGTTCGGGGGTTGGTTAAACTTAGGGAAGGTGCTAGCATCCTAAGTTTCTGTAGTACTCTACAGGAACCTCTTGTTTTATGTTTTTTATTGCTAAGTGTTTATCTGCTTAAGGTTTAAAGACCTAGGGGTTTATTTCTAAGTATACTCGATAAGATGTCACATCTTATGCCTACATATCCTTACGGGAGTGGAATCAGAGTATCTGTAGTTCCCCTAAAGGGTTTGAGGAGTTCTTTGACTGTGGTCAAAGTTCCTACGGGTTTAGGGTAGTTGGTTGATTGATTTTAGGAGAAGAGATGCGTTATCATTTTAAGGGAGATTTAACCGCCACAAATTGTAGGAATGTAGTCTTTGCATTGTCTTAAGTGAAGGGCTCAAGTACTCGGATAGGGATCGACGAGGTACGCCTCTATCTCTCTTAAGGCAAAGTTCCTACGAGTTGATTGCATTGATGTGGGGTGGAGATTCTATCTCGCTAAAGATGATTAATATCTTTCTCTAATGTGTTTGAATATTTGTTGTTTTGAGTTAAATTGTTTGTTTGTTCTAAGTTGTAAAAGAGTCCTTCCTATGGGGTAGGATCTAACTTAGAGATCAACTTGAATGGGATCAAGGATCATGTGGGGAGAATGATGCAAATGTGAATGCATTACACACAAGTGTTGACTCATGTGTAGGTTTTTCCTTTGGACGGAAATGCGATGCGATAAAGGTAAATTGCGATAGTGATAAATTGCAGAAAATATAAATCCATACACACGCATGAAAGCGCTAGGTGAGTGCAAGTGATGTGAATGTGAATATGTGAACCGAGGCTATGAGATAAAAGCGGGCACGATTGGTTGATTAAGGAAGGTTGAATTGATTTGAAAAAAGGTTATATTAGATTAATTATGCGGACAAGTTTTAATAAAAATTTGTTATTATAAAACTACCCTAAATATAAAAAAAATTTCTTTGTTAATATTATTAACGTTCCTTCTTAACTAAAATGTTGGTAATTGTTATTTATTTTAAAAGCATAAAATAGGTTTTAAATTATTAAATTATTTTAAAGTGAATTAAGTATAAAAAGAATAATTTAATTTGTAAAAGGATGATTAGAGAAAAGATCTAGTTAAATAGTTGACTAATTAATAAAATAAAACATGGGTTTAATTTTATAAAAAAAGGGTTGACTCAAGTATAAGTTAATTATAAAGGTTATCAATCTTTTATAAAAGGTCTAATTAAAACATTAGATTAATTAGTTTAATTAATAAAAGAGCCAAATTAAAAAGATTAAATAGTTGTTGTTTTTTTTTAGTAAAAAGTTATTATTAAGTTATTTAATGGATTAAATAAAGGGGTTAATTTAAAAGGTTATTTAAAAGAGAATCAATTAAAATAAGAAGGGGTTTAATAAAAATGAAACGATTGATTTTAAAAGGGGCTAACTAATTACTTAATTAATTAGATTAATAAAAAGTTAGGATTTGTTAAAAGCTTAATTATAGTTAAATGAGTGATTATTCTAATTAAATGGCAGATTGAAAGTTAATTGGTGTTAATTAAAGCTAAGGGTGGCCGTTAACGGGATAATGAAGATTAAGGAGGGTGGAACATGGTTGTGTGATGCGCAGAGAGAGGGGTTGTAGTGTGGGCGTGCGATCTAGATCGTCGGATGACGGATATGTGGCCGTGATGTGCAGGTGCACGGTAATTACCATGTGTGTACGTGTGTACAATTATATTACAGATAAAACAGGAAAAAAAACATGGAAACCTAATCCCTAAATCTTCCTCCCCCCAATTCGTCTTCGACGATTTCACTTTCGTTATCCTCCCTCTCCGTTTTCGTCTTCTTCTTTTTCAACGTTCTTCTTCAACTTTCTCCGCTTTTCTCCGTTTCTTCTTCGCAACCTCTAGTCTTCTCCTTCTTTCTTCTCTGCGCCTTCCGCCTCTTTCTTCCTCCCTGAAACGCAAGCGAAAGCACAAATCAATAGATAACAATATTTTGAAATTAAGCTTACAGTGTGTTGGGTTTCTTCTTTTTGCAGATTTTCGTTGGAGTTCGGTGGAATTTTCGAGGAGGAAGGTTCTCGGTGACAGGTTCGCAGAGCTGGAGACAGCCGGTGGAGATGACGGTTTTCCGTTGGGTTTACGGTGTTTAGTTAAGGTTAAGGACTTGGATCGCGACTTCGCAATGGACGAAAAGAAAAGATAAGTTCTGACTTCTCTTTTCATCAAAAATCTTAGGGTTTGCGGACTTTAGAATTTGGGGATTTTTCTGTGGACTCTTTTCTCTGTCTTCTTTCTGGTTGTGAATTCCTGACTCCTTTTATAGCCATCTGATAATTAAAGTTATAATATCCTCTTAAAACTATTACCGATTTCGTCTAGGCATGTTTTAACCGATTTGGAAATGGAATAATGTTGTGTTCCTTCGAATCTGTTCCAATATCTGTGTTCATTGAGGGTGTGAAACTGAATCAAATGCTGTTGACAACCTGTATTGAGCCATAAAGCGCTTTCCTATTTGTCTTAAACGACCTTAATCTCTTCCTTAACTCATTTTCAATTCCTTTCAGGTACGTATACTGGAGCAACTCTGGATATGACAAAGTTAAGACAAAGTTTGAACCTTGAGAGACCAGGTGTAGAGTATGGAAGCATCCTGGTGGGCGTGATGTTCGCTAATTCAAAACAACCCTTCTTCAACGATTAGAAAGGGAAAATGACACCGCACTTGGAGGGAAGAGCAAAGAGCGATGCTCGATTGCTTTGGACAGAATATGGCTGATTTGGAAACGTTGGTTGAGATGCCCGGTACTCAACTTCTTCTGTTGTATTGCAGAGAACATTGACCACGGCCTAACAACTTGTTTTGACTTTCGTCACTCTGGTGCAAAGAGAAAATGTCGCTGATACTGATGAACCGTACAGTAGGATTGGTCAAGTTGTCATCAAAGGAGAGTGGTGTCATCGATGAAGGGGATTGCCCATAACACTTGTGACTCAACTGAGGTTGTAAACGGTAATCGACAAATCAGCTTTAAAAGTTTATTTCTTGACTCTCTTCGTACTTGATTTTATTGCTTCCAGTTATGTGGCATTGTCAGAAAGACATTTGTGAATCTCAATTTCTCCTACTATGATGCAGGTTAATCGCGAACCGACAGTGCACGTGTGTGTTTGAGTTGATACTGTTCTGTAGTTGTCATTTGTCCACCCATACAGTGTTGTTTCGAGAGTTAAGCCATCTTATTCGCATTCTAAATGGCTTTACGGAGATCACCTTGTGGATTCTAGCATTATCATCATAAACAGCCCAGACTCGATCCTCTGCAAAGGAGCTTTCAGCTTTTTGTATCTCTTATTCTCTTTGTTCTTGTTGATAACCCTAGCTTCAGCCCTCTTAGACATTTAAATCCTTAGTATTTATATCCTAGGTCTGAACTCAACTAATTCTTGGAATTGCTTTATTTTGACAGTTCTGGTGTTGTTTTGATAGTGTTGGTAACTCCAATCCATGGACAGTACTTTGTGGTAATACCGGGACATAAATTGTGGAGTTGTAAAGTCTGCAGGTCTCCTGAAAGTGATGAGATCCGTGAATTCTCTCAGAAAAAGCTTGGTCGCACGGTTCAGCATGGATAATGGTGTTGTTGGCAATACCGACTGTCTAAAGAAAAGCCTATCAGACTTGTCTTGTCAATGGGTTTATTAATCTTTGTAAGTAGAGTGTTGTTTGTGATTCCCATTATCGTAGCCAGTTGGCATTGAAGAGTCACTCCTTGTTGCCTGATTATACGGTAACTCATTTTCTGCAATTGGTTTCCTGTGTCGTGCAGGTGGCTTAAGGGTTTTGAGCTTGATATTTAAGTTCAGACATAAGGGTGTTGCCGACGGGTCCAGTTTTCCTGCGTTGAACTTCTTCCTTGCAGATGGCTTCTTTTCGAGTGTTAGGAACATTGGGCTCAGCAAATTCGTGGATTAATCACTGATGGTAAGTTCACTCTTCTAATTTTCTTTATAGAATTTAGCAGAAGTTGATTTTACAGTGGGATGGTCTGCTGTGGAATCATTGCGTTTTTTCGTGACTAACGTTCTGATTGCTTTCAGGCGATGAGGTATTATGAAGCACGAGTTGAAAAGTTTAGATGCTGGCTAACCAAATCGTGGATGTATTTTGTTGAGCAAACTATATTCAGCAAAGAGCAAGAATCAGGAGCCATGTGGTTTGTCGTTGCGCCGTCCTCGTGTCCACTTTATTTGGATAGCCTCCCCTTGTAAAGTAAAGCTAACAGGTCTTGTATCGGGATTGGGATCCTTACTGGATTTATCTTGTAGATGGTGTTGAAATCGATGTAGGCTCACCGGGTGATTTTCTCCTTCTGTTTTGCAGCATATGTGGGTATGCGGAAGTTTGGAGGACGTTGACGCGGTGCACAAGTTCTTGGAGCAGTTTGGTAATGATTTGCGCTTGAATTTCTTCTTCAATTCATCTGAAGGTCAATTAATCGCTTATGCGTTTTGGTTTGCAGGAGGAGGTGATGCCTTACCGTAGCGCGGGTCTCCTAAGAATGGAATGGTGCCGTTGTGATGCGAAGCCTACCATGAAGAATTACTCAATGTTTCTAAATGGTGTGGGTTCGCTGCTGTCAAAAGAACTCAAAATCTCCTTTCTCGATTTTGTTTCGATGCTCTTAACTCTCCTAATTTAATTTTGGATCGTGTAGTTCAAATAGATGTCGGTGGCTTTGATTATTACAAATGATAAGTAGATTCGATCTGTTATTCAGGTATCACTTTTATTAGGAACACCACGGACATGCTTATGTTGCTCCAAACAGGATATGTGAAAATTGTTGAACATGCACATGATGCTACAAATATCAGTAGCTAGTCTGATCTTTATAATATTTGCTTCTAATTATCACGCTTGCAGGTATGGAGTTTCGTCGGCATACATCAGCTTTTGACAACAGTTGGTTCATTGACAGCAGCGAGGGATGTGGCTTCACTCACCTGCAGTTGCTTTAGGTCATGCACAAGTGAATTCTCAACATAATGAGCTATAGGCTTTAAATTCTTGTAACTTAAACCATGAACACACTTGAGTCAATGTAGTGATTCACGATGATGTAATGGGGTTGGATTGCAAGAAATCTCCTCGTATTAAAATTGTATTGGATACTTGTATGCTTTCCTCGAATAACTTATTTGTTCAAATTAATGAAGGGATACCTATAATATCCATTCCCTGTAGCAATAGGCTTCCTTCATTGGACTTATCTTATCAAACTTGAATTAGTGGAGCATGGTGTTACCGCCATGGCAAAATCTCTTTGACTTTGTAATTTGAATAAAAAACTTCCTTGACGTTATAAGAAATCCATAGGCCAAAATGTACATACTTATCCACTTAGAAAACACATGTGAACTTCAAACCCTGAATCCAAACCCTCTTGTGTCAGAAAGCAATGGGGCCTCGAATACCATAAACTCATGTGCTATAAAATCCCGATCTCCAACCAAATATGAAAACGACTTTAGCGAGATACAACCAAAAAAAAATCCATCTAGGATGTCTTTGAAGTGTTTATCCATGAATGGCCTAAGAGTGAAGGAAATAGTTATGACTGTGAGGTTGTGTATTATTTCCCTTTGAACTCAACATCCTATGCAAACCTGCACAAAATAGATAACTGTGATAATAGACACACGCACAAAAACAACAGAAAATAAAATAAAAAAGAATGGGATCTTAAGGTCAAAAATTAGGGTGCAACACAACTCACAAATTAGGCATATGACAGTTGGAGCACAAAATTGGTATGTTGTGGTAGGAAGTATCAAAAAATGTCTTGGTAAAACTTAGCACAACAGGTTATTTTGGCAAGCAAAGGGTTTTGTGTTGAAACAAACGATATGCATATACCATGAACATGCTAACAGATGAGGATATGCTCTAGAAATAGATGAAAACCTTACCAAACAGAAAATAGCATTTTGGAGCTTATGAATATGCACAGAACCAAATTCAAACATGCAGCAGGAAATTTCATAACAGTTGGGGAGATTTGATAGCACATACAAGTTTCAAATAAGTAAGGCAGTGATTCTATGCACATAGATCATGTAGAATGCAGTTGAAACAGAATATGGTATGTGTTTGGCATTAATGAGGTTTTGAAATGCAAGTGGAGGAATGACAAAGCAGTTTGAACACATAATGAAGGTTTGAACATTTAGGCACATCATACATCTCCAAAACATAATGGCAAATGATTCTCCAATCTAAAAACAAGTACCAACTGCACCAAACCAGAAATGGTATGCCTATCCAATTTTGACAGCAAAACCAACAAGATCTCATGACAGACCCTAATGGCTAAGTTTCATGTTTCTCATCATTCACCCAAATCAAACAAGCAAGTAAGATGTAAGCATTAAACAATGACTTAGAACAAATGAGATACACTCATGGCAAGCACAACAATCCACTACACAATTCAATAGTGATAAAGCTAGAATGACACAAAAATAGCATAAGTGTGAAACAAGTGCCACAATAGATTCAAACATGATCTAGGGCAGGGGGATCCTATAAATAAGTTACAATTATCCAAATCTCACTAATGAACTAAAACTAACAAGCCTAGGGCAGGCTCATCAATATTTCCATATTGGCTCCTAAAACTACCACAATGACCAAAACCTCACTAACAAGTCTAAACATGATATCAAGACACAAACATAGAATCTAACATCCACATATCATTTACAAATGACAAAATATTTGACAAAACAAGCATCATGATCATAAAAATAGGATTCTTGACAAAGAAACATAATAGGGAAGCCATGGTATGTTTTCACACAAATCCTCATAAAATGGCAATACATGATAATGTATGATTTCTAGATAGTCAGAACATCACATACCTCTTGCTGACCAGCCTTGGACAAGCTAAAAAGCTTAGAAACCCAGAGATGCTCCTTCCTTTGCAATGATGTGAAGCTTACTTCCTCTTGAAGCAACAAGACCAAACTTCAAGACAGTTGGAGTTAGAGGATTTCTAGTTGGTTTTTAATGCTTTAGACAGTTGTAATATGACATATGTGAGGTGTGTGGATGGTTAGAACAGCAAGAACAAGCCTAGACAAGGATTTGGCAAGTTTTGAATATGGTGGTCAAACTTTCTTGGTGTGAAAGTTGACTTTTTGCAAAATGGTAGTTTTGAGAGATTTTAGGGTATAAACACCTTCTATACTATATTTAGGGATTGTGTGGATGATTTTTAGAGGCTTGGAAATGATAGAACTGGTCTTGAGCAGAGTTTTGCTCAAGACAGCTTTTTGGTGAAAATGGGGACTTTGAGTTTTTTTGAAATTCTTGAGGAATGAGAGGAGAATGAGAGCTATGTTTTCTCTGGTTTTTTGAGATTGCTCTGGTGTCCTTAAACTCATAGAAGAGGCCTCTATTTATAGCCAAACAAGAGTGAGGGCAGCCTTGGTCTTTTACCACTTTTGGAGGGAGTTTTCATGAGATTTTCAAATGATTCTTGCAAGATCTTCTCCTATCAGCTCCAATGTTCAAAGGAGATCAGAAAACTCAAGTGGAGATGGAGATGAAGTGACTGAGATGATTTGTGAGGGTAGAGTAAGCCAGCTGCAACAGTCCTAGCATTAAAGTTTATCTCTCCTTCTTACATTTGATTATTATATTGTCAAGTTGCAACAACTTGCTATGTTCACCAAAACCATCCTTTTTTCTGGTTTTCTTTCTATCTATGCCTCACATTATCAGTTTGGATCAAGAATCAAGGGTTGAGAGTAGCTTAAGTTGTGAAAATCCAATTTTGAGAATTCTTGACAAAGTGATTTCAAGTGTGACAGGCCCAACTTCTATGGTGCATAACTTCCTGCTCAAACATGCTATTGAGGAGTTCTACCATAATTTGGAAATCCCTCAAGTAGCTCTATAACTTTCATGTTTTGGGAATTTCCAAATTCTAGATGGAACTAGGTTGAAAAACCCTCCAAAGTTGCTGAAAAATCAAGCTTAAAAGCCAAATAACTTAGAATTTTTCTAAGTTATTTCCCTTCTTGAAATGAATTTTCTCATAACTCCAAATATATGCATTTTTTGATCATGGACCACTTTGAGGCTTTTCTAGGACTTTTCAATAGCTTTCTAATGAGCTTTGAACCACTTCATTTGGATGTGTGGTTGAGGAGTTATGGTCTTGCCCCTTTCAAAACCCTAATTCCCGATTTCTGCAATTACTTCCTAACCCTTGATCCAATGGTCATGAAATTTTATGGGAAGGTGTAATATGACATAAGGAACATTTTTGAATCACATCTTGAAGTCAAATTCCTTATTGTTGAAGAGTTGACTTTTCGGTGACTACCGAGTCGACTGTGGGGTTCCGGGTATTCTGAGGACTTGAAACTCTTTGGATAGACTTTACTAAGCCATAGGAACTTAATGGACCATGATCCCACCATTGAAACACTTTTTAAATCAAAAGTCAAACTACAGTTGACTTTTACCAATCGAAAACCCTAATCGGGCATCTTGAACTGCACTGTTCTCAATTCTCGGGTGACCACCTCAAATTGGATTCATACTTGATCCAAAGGAGAATTCTTGATCTTGTTTATAGTTGAATCAATCCCATACATTGATTGATCAAACCACTGAAGCCTCGATTTTTATGGTACAGAACCCTGATTCATCTGCATCTTAACAAAGATAAACTTGAAATGGGTTAAGGTTAGTTAATTAAATGAACATGATCCTACAATGATGATGAGGATCTAAGGGGTCAAAATTCGGGGTGCTACAGATGCCCCTATTTAAATATCTTCACTAGATGGCAATGAGAGATGACAATCCTTATAGAATCGTAGTGAAAGGTATTTAAATATAGCAAACCAGAAATTTTGTCCCTTAGATCTGATGGTATGCAAAAGGACAAATGCTGAATGCAGTGATTCTAAATGGTGCTTTATGATGCTTGAATGCAAGACAAATGCAGACATACGAGCAAATATAAAATAAAGGAAATACAATGAGTAACCACTCACGGGGACCCAACACACTAGGGAAAGCTTCCAAGCGAAGTAAGCAAGATAGTTCAAACATGACTAAAGATGTTGTTCAAAGAAATCTTTCACACAGGGGACACAAATTCCACCAGGGAAGACACATCTTTGCTGGGGAAAGAAGACACAAACCTCACTGGGGATAACCAGATGAGGAAGCCCACTGGGGAACAAGGCAATTCTTCACTAGGGAAACGAAAGAAAAGAAACGCAAACTTCTCTGGGGAAGAAATCCACTGGGGAAAACTTTGCTGGGGAACAAAACAACTGGGGAAGCAAATCTTCACCGGGGGGAAAGACGGAACGGAGACACGAATCTCACTGGGGATAACCAGGCGAGAAATTTCCTATAACGAAGAGTTCAAACGGGATCTTCAGGAAAAGGTTAGAAACAAGATCGGACGCGTCGGGGACGCTAGTATCCACTAGTCCTCTGAGACTCGACTGGGAAAGCAAGAGCTTCAATGGGGAAACCGGTGACGACCAGAACAACAAACAGCTTCAAGTGGTGTTAGTTTCCAATAGACTTACTGGGGATGATGGTGACGACCAATCCAACAACGATTTCCAAAAAGTGCTAAATACCACTAGACTTTCTGGGGATATGGTGACGACCAAATAAAAGGGTTCCAATTATAATTGGGAATTCCAAACAATATTGATAAAACACAGGATTTCGGCTGGGGGGAAATTGGTAACAACCGACTAATAATGATTAGTTTTCAAGAAATGCTAGTAACTACTGAACTTAGAGGGGACTAGTGATGACCAAATCGGGGTATACCAATAGAAATTGATTCTGGATAATGCTAGTAACCACTAGATTTAACTGGGTAACGACTGAGTCCAAGGAGACCGATAACCATTGGATTTGGGTAATACCAATAAATACTATATTTTCAAAGGGTTTGGTAACAACCAGGTCT